GCGGTGCAGGGGCTTGGGTGGCCGCGAGGTGGAGCGGTGTCCTCGTCTGCTCCTTGCGGCTCTTGGAAATACTGATTCTCTTCATGCTGTTAGTTACCTTGGAGTACTATTGGGTAAAAGAATAGAAAGTATCCTTTCCTGTTTTACACAGCTTATTTCAGAAATTTTTGAGAAATTGTGGGTACTTAATTACATATTAATTCCTGCAACTGATTTTTGTGTGTGTGTGTGTGTGCCATGTACATTCAGTATGAAAATTGCTGTTTTGCAAATAATAGAAGCTTATTTCCAAAGCCTTGAATGTCCAGCATGATCAGTTATCCTGAATGCTTTGGATATTTACTCTGTCAGGAAATCTGAACTAGCAAGAGAAAAATGTTAACTAAAAAACTTACTTGCAAGGGGATGATTTACATTATACCTTTTTCCTTAATGACTCTCAAATACTTATAAGGAAAATAAAACATTTGAAAACTACAAGGAATAATTAACGGAGTGTCTCTAGATACATATCTTCAGTGTAAAAGCCAAATTATATATATTTTTTGCCATCCAGTAGGATTTGGAGCACCCAGTGCTGCATACGTTCAGATATTAATAGAAGAACCAGTGGTAAGATATCATTTATTAAAAAAGTTTCCTTTTTTTCCCCCAGAGCACAGGTTATTTCCTTCCTCCTTTTTTTTTTTTTAATGCCATATCAGTATTTAATCTGAAGTATTCTAAATGCTGCAATTTAATAACTGTGATGAGGGCAAAATAACTGTGATGATGGCAAAAGCTTTAAAATCTTTTATACACAACACTCACACTTTGAAACCAATGGTGAAAAGCAGGAACACTTCCTTACTAAACAGCCAACCTAGGGCCACCTGCATTTCCTTTTAAATAACTGAGTCCACAAAGCTCCTATTAATTTTGGCTTTGGCTGCATTGCATTTCCATGGGTTTCCTCTCTTCAAGAGATTAAATTCCTAGAAGACCCGTTGGCCCAGGATATTTAACATCCCTTAGCAATATACCTTTATCTCCTTTGGTGCATGTCTTCCCATCATCCTCCCGGATATAGCCTTCGTGACACTCGCATCTGTAGCTGCCCATGGTGTTGACACAGATTTGAGAGCAGAGGGTCCCATTGCTTGTGGCACACTCATCGATATCTGGAGGAAAAAGTGTTCAACATGTCCTAAAGTCAGAGAGATCAGACCTCAAATACAACAAAAAATTCCCCATGAAATGTGCAACGTGCAACATTAAAGCTGGAGAAAGAGGCCCTGCGCACATTTTACCATAGATAAACTTAACATGCACTTCTACCCACCCAAGCAATAAGGCTTCTCTCTATTTCTGTGCCTCTCACGATCATAGTGGTACCCAGGATAGCAGGTGCATAAGACACGTCCAAAGTTATCTGTGCACTGCTGTTCGCAAGGAGCTTCTGCACAGACATCGTAGTCTACAGAGAGAAAGATATGATTAGGAAAATACCAATAGCAGCACTTTGATAGCAAACATTTAACTGCTGTCCTTTCTAATTAATAAAGTCTTATTGCATTATTTCTGAGGATTGAAGAAGCCTAGAAAATATTCATGAAACATAAGCAATGTATTATGGCAAAAGCGCAATTGTTAATTACAGCCTTACAATAGTTGAACTGTTTCTTAAAGTCGAATTTTTAAAAATGGGCACTTTCCCAGATTGCAGAATTTAGGAATTCTTCACACAGAAATACTAAGTTACATAAAAGTTATTTGCTGTTTTCTTCCACAAATGTTTAAGTTCTGATAGTAACATTTACTAGGCAAAATACTGGGAATCACTGTGAGGATAACTGCCAAATTCAGGCAGATATTATCTTATATGGGAAAATTAGACAAAATCATACAGGAAATGTTCAAGAACAGCTATAACCCTTCTATCAAAGAACACGTTATAAAACCCCCATCACTTTTAATATTAGTGATGTGAAAATTAGGATATGGCAAGTCACTGGCCAAGCTTGTCAGTGGAATCACAACAGATGCTCTGAAGTCTCATCTCACAACCAGGAAGGCGAATCTGTTTCTGATCTCACTGTTATAGAGCAACAGAGATGGAGTCCAGGGAATAGACCCAGGGTGAAGCAGAGTCTGGGACCATGGGACTGAGCTGGCGTGAAGGACTCGTGTGGCTTATTTTGACCTTGCCATTAGCAAAGCTGAGCCTTGCCCAGAGATGAGGCATGTGGCCATGCAGTGGCTATATCCAGATGTGCATACAGCTTTTGCATGACTGGAAAGCCTCCCTTACGGCTCCCGGGGGCTGGCTGGGTACTGGTTCTGGTGGCCCTGGAGCAGCGCTTCCCCATCACTGAGAAACCCAGCTGCAGAGCCACTGACCCAAGCAAGCTCCGCGAGGAGCACCAGCGATGCATGCAGAGGCAGCACAGGACCACAGCGCCTTGATCAAGGTCATGCAGCACCATGAGGGGAATGCTTGCAGGGAGAAGAAAGGCGTATATTATACTTGGAGAATATATGTTTGGTCTGATGCTCAATAAAATGGCTTCTGGCTTCTGGTCCTAAACCTTAAGCCCCTGCTTCTTCGATGATTCCCACAATCCTTATCATCCTATTCAGTTTGCAACTTTTTTTTTCCCCCCTGTTAACACCGCAGGTCTCCTTTGGTCTTACTAGATCACAAGTTGCTGGGTTTTATTAGCTTGTCAGAGTGAGCATTACATTACTCAGAGACATTACACAGTGTCAGCTTAGGACAGAGCCCTTTAGTGGCTGTCAGCTACATTTTTAAGGTAACTAACAAGGCCCCAACCTGCATTAGTGATTTTGTCCATGGATGCAAGAAGGCTTGGGAAGAGCTAGTGTCTGTGGGGCAATTTTTTTTTTAATTCAAATATAGGCTATAAATGAGCATATCTCTATGAAGGAAACAGCGGATTCTCTGCCTGCAGGCTCTTCCCAAGACACACTGAGGTTTTAAGCACTGTTGAAGTGGTGCTTCATGCCACTGAATGACCAGACTCACTGGTCTCCCTGAATTAGTTTAGCCTCATGTACCAGAGTGGGAAGAGCAATCCCAGCTTGCACTCGTGATGTGCAGTTGCTTTTAATCTGGAACAACACGTGTGGCCAGCACAAAGCAGTGCTTTGTCTATCGTGCATAAAGGGGGAAGACCTCTTTCCATGAGGGAAGTTTAGGGAACCAGAGTAGCCACAGTTGGTTTTTTTCCAAGGCACTGGGCTTACCTCGTGCTGAATGCCCCTAATCCAAAGCCTTCTCACTTCTTCCAGCAGCCCCAGAGCCAAGGAATTGCACGTGTGCACCGGCTTCTCATCCTAGCCATGCTTTGTCATGTGTTCTGTGCTGGATGGTGGCTGTTGCTATTGCACTGCTGGAGCAAGTTTGGAGTTGCCCTGCTTGGAAAGGCTTTGGCTGAGAGTATTGCAGCACATCAGCATGTTTATGCCTCCCTGCACTAGCAAGCTTGAGCCTGGAAACCTCTAGCTGGGAACACAATGGGCAGATAGTGGCCTCCCTGTGGACGGGGACCACTATGATGGTTGAAAGGTTGGGAATCCCTGTGTGGAGACAAATACTCACTGACCTCTGAAAAACTTTCTTGCTTCCAGGGAAGCTGAAAACTTGCTGATTGATAAGCCTTTGGGCTACTTCCTTGTTCGCATCAGCCAGAGCCAACCAGGCTACACCCTGACATACAGGTAATGAGCCTTGCAGAGAAGGAAGAAGAAATTCCTAAACTGAGCTATGTATGGCTGGAATAGTTAATTTTTCTCTACAGAGTAGTCCACTGACTCCGATGCTTAGCCTCTTCTGTGGTGGGGTGCCTGAAACCCAGGCAAACAGGACACTGCAGAGTTCATCTCTTGCCGAAGTCTAGATCATTGAGTTGATGTGAGTTGGTTTGCAGGGTGCAGGTACTGCTTGGGGTGTGTTAAATGGTTGTGTGGCTAGAAGAAGCATCTACTGGGGCCTGAGGAAATGTGATATAGCACAGGACATTATTCTAGAGAAGAGGAGAAGTAATCAGAGGATGCTAGAAGCATGCAGCATCAGGCAAGAGGAAGGGCAGGTGGTAATGTGGACAACAGGCCTGGGAGATGGTACAGGCTGCTGGGGGTTGGATCCAGAAGCGTGGGTTCTCTCTGTGCCCCTGTTGCTCACTTTGGGGAAACTGATGCTCCTCCAGCACCTGTTACCACAGTGTACAACACTCCAGCATGGAGGATCTCGTGCATCTTTGCAATATTTGGTACTGTGGCTCTTGATCCTGTCTGGGCCTCCTGAGACAAAAAATACAGAAAGCAACAACCAGGTCCTGGAGAGATGCTGTGGCCTCGTGTCATGACTGTTTCTGTCTGTCCCTCTCACCAGGGGTGAAGGCCACTGCAGACACTACATGATTGAGATGCAGCCCAATGCACGCTATGTAATTCTGGGTGAGGACCAGGCTCATGCCTCGCTCACTGAGCTGGTTCAGTATCACCAGGCTGTGGGCATCCAGCCCTTCATGGAGATGCTGACTGTTCCCTGTGGGCAGGTGAGTGCTCAAGATCTGCAGCAGCAAAAGGGGCTGGGGCATGGGCTGTGCCTTGAGCACACAGAGTCACCTGGGCAATATCTCTGCTTTTGGTTTCTGTTGTGGGAGTCCTGTATTGGCTGAGCTGCCTGGCCTCTTCTGCATGTGCCAGCAAAGGCTAGTAGGTGAGCACTGGGGTTTCCTGGGTTGGATGTTACCCCTGCCCTATGCTTGTTAGTAATCACAGCTGGGTATTGCTCTTAGCTGTGCTCTTTGGGGTATGTAAAGGGTTTGTAGTGACCACTGCTGAATGCACTTTTCACCCTCAGAAAAGCAGTGAGAGTTTGGATTATGAAGACCTGGAGTGCCTCTCGCTGGCTGCATCTGCAGCCAAGGAGCAGACCCCTCGGTGGGGGCAGACTTGCCTCTCTGGGCCTACCGCTGGGAAGCCCATCCTACAGACAGGAGCAGCCTCAGTTCTCAAATGCATGTGGTTCAGGAGGGCCAAGAAGGACCGAGAGCAACAGAGCCTGGATGAGAGCAGGACAAAACCAAGCCCAGGAGAGGAGGGAGGCAGACAGCAGGCATTCCCTCACCTTCACTCCTCCATACGCCTGGCAATGCAGGAAATCCAGCAGGTGAACAGGGAACAACTCCAGATTTCCAGTGCCTTCCTCTGCCACAGTCTTGCCCCCACAGCTGCTGTGGGGCTGGTGGAGATGCCCTGTCCAAATATAGGAGATAGGAGGCTTCCAGAAGTGGTACTTGGTTTCTTATCTCCTCAATGACCAGATTTATTTGGTGATCTTGGCATCCAGATTGTGGGAGACCCTGGGAGAGGATCTCTTGAGATTCACAAAGAAAATCCACAACACAAGGTTGTGACATGGCTAGTGACCTAGCCAGTACTTCCCTAATGCTGTGTCTTTGCTTCCCACTGCAGTTCTCTTCCGTTCCCTCGACCAGCTCCTGTACTGAGCTGCAGTCGAGGTCTCAGCATTGAGGACACGCAGCCCAAGTGACACGGTAAGCAGAGGGGGATGCACAGGAGGCCAGATGGCAACTTTAGCACCTCCAGGAAATAGAGGAGCAAAGGGGAGAGTCTCCTGGCCGTCAAGAAGAAATAGAGCAGGGCAGATGGAAAGCAGCTGCCAGCTTCTATTCCAGGCCTGCAAAGAGATCATTGGCAGAGGGAGGCCAGGAAAAAAATGGGAACCACCAGCATAGGATTGCATTCCTGACACATGGGATGAACATTGTGCTTGCAATACCACAACAAAACTGCTGGAGGGAGCTCGAGTTTGTTAGAGATCACAGTTTGGAGGTCTGAGGCTGGAAAAGGATCATAAGAAAGTAAACCTACACACTAATTAGTCAGTTGCAATAACATAAAGCTGTGGAGAGTGGCATGTGTCAGAAGGGGATGCTAGGCAGAGGGCCTCACAAAGAGTGAGCTGAAGGAAGGCTGAGAACATAAGGCAGCAGTTTGAGGACTCTAAGGACTTAAAGCAAGGTCACAGGAGCTGGTTACTGAGGCTATAGTACACTGGGTGGGTTATAGAGTGTGTATGGAGGGGCCAGGAAGAGCCTTTCTGATACAGCTAAGGCCAGTATCTTATTTGTCTGAAGCATCTAGTCTTAGAACAATAATGTCTTATTCTTCAGTTGCTAAAGCCAGGGAGAAGCAGTAGTGATGCTGTTGTACACGTCTAAAAACATCTGGATTTTTTGGGTTGGTAGCAACTGGGAGTGGAGAAGGATCAGAAAAACATGCTGTTGGCTACAGATTTACTGCAGGATGTACAGCTCTGCATGGTCATTTCTGAGTTCCCTGCGTCATTCAGCTCCCAGAAATTCATGTTGAGCCATAGCTTATTAGCTGTCTTGGGTGGCTTTCCCTGCAGTGTTTGACTCAGTTGTTTCATTCTTGTGTTTGGTTGTTAGTGCACCTGAGGACTCTTTTCTTGTGCCTGAGGTAAGATAGAAGACAAACAACTTCTGCGGGATCTTCATAAATAGTTGCAAGCATGCCATGCAGGGATTGCTGAATGAAGCCTTCCTTTTATGTTCTGCACTTCATTGTGTTTCCTGACTTTCTTGCAGATGAAAACGATTTAGCCCTGTCATCTTTGGGTGCTGCTGAGCCTTGCATAATTGGGTGAACACATCCAGATATAGAGCAGCCTTCTTTTTTTTTTTTTTTCTTTTTTTTTTTTCCGCAACAGCTGGCTCTGTGCCTTTAGGCAGGACTGCTGCAGGAATGAACCTTCTTCAGCCTTCAGCTAGGTCTGCAGTACCTGGACCAGTCTCTTCTTGGCAGTGGGGAGAAGTTGGGAACAATCACACTCTATGCACAGATCCACAGTACCTGACAATACTTCAGTGTGCCTGGAGAGCCTTCACCCATGTTTAATGCGGTTGTTTGTCACAGACTGGATATCTCCCAACAAGGGGTTCACTTTGCAGCTGTGTGCTGATTTCCTAAGTATTTTTTCTTGAGTCTTCTGTTTCTGCTCTGGTCCTGTGTGTCTGCGTCGCTGGGGGAAGCTGGGCTGGGGAGGCACAGAATGAATCTGGTGTGTGCTCTTTGGTGAGTGCAGAAGCACTTGACCAGGAGCTAAGAGACTGTTAAAGGACGAGAAAATCTCTTTGCAGAGTGTATTACCTGCCCTTATATCTGACACACTGCTCCTCTCTACTTAGCCAGCATTCAAGTTGGGGAATAGTTGGCAAAACTGTGGTCTCTTCTTATCCCCGCATCCTCACAATATGCCTGAGGGTAGAGGATTTGGGAATATACAGGACTAGGTTACTTGTAATGTATTTTCTGCCTTTTTAAAAGATCACTTTTCAGCCAAGTTGTTCTCCTAAAGAGAAGCGCGGGGGTTTCTTTGTTCCTGCGAACCTGCAGCCCGTTCAGGCATGGATTGTAAATGGAGGAAGGGCTAACAGTGGGAGTGTAGACAGAGGTAATTGAGTAACTGCAGGCAGGACTGGACCTATGAGGAGCTCCAAGTCAAGCTGTCCATGCTGGTCTAAGGGACAGCTCCTGCCCAGACACAGGGGCAGCCTCGTGTCTTGGTTTCCATCCAGGTGCTGGCCCAAGCACCCACCCCTCACATGTGCCTGGCTGTCCTGTCCTGATGTCCATCAGTGATGCAGCTGCCACCATGGCTGGCTCACTCGGGAATAAACCGTGTGCTTCTGAGGTTTTGTTTTTGTTTTTGTTTTGTTTTGTTTTTTCTTGCAAGAAGCAGTGTTATTTAGCAAGCAGATTGCTGCCTCGGTTTGCTGAAAGAAGTTATGCAAAAAGTACAGTCCCATGGAGCTGAGCCAAGAAGAGCTACCAGTGACCTGTTGTTTTCTTCCATGTGTTGTGCGGTGCTGAGGCTGTTTAAGGAAGGGGCAAAGAAGCTCAAATACATTGCCACTGCAGAGTTACTTCTGAAATGTCTGAGTGCAGAATCCGAAGGCTCACAGTAATCCTGGTGTCCAGCTGCTGCCTCTGATGAGCTGATCTCCCCCCCTGCACCCTGAGCCGAGCTCCCTGTGTCTGTCAGCAGTGCCCGGGAGGTCCCTGCATGCCTGAACACGGCGCTGTCTGTGCCTACAGCTTTGCCAGAGCCTGCTGCACACACTGGAGCTGCACCTGGAGAAACTAAGATTTATGATTCAGGATGCTTGTGGCAGAGCCTCTTAGTTCTGCCTTCACACCTTAGGTTATTTCCACCTCCCTTATGTGTGCTCCTGTTCAGGCTGCAGCATTCGTGCTGAGCAGTCCTGGCTCATAGGGAGAGCGCTGCTGGGACAGGGAGGGAAGCGGTCGTTGTCTCAGCGTGACATCCAGACCCTCTCCCAGCACTGCCCTCTCGTGTAAACACACCTTCCTCCTCCTGATGATGGGGTTGTGGCAGCTGTTTTGGGGATCTTCAGAACAGGACCAGTCCAGACAGGCCGCTGTTTGCAGAGTCCTTTCAGCTGAGCTCGGGTGCTTTTGCTGGGCAGCCTTGGACCCCACAGCAATGTTTTCCTTGGCTTCCTCTGCCTGTGGGTGTCTGGAAAACCTTCCTTCGAGGTAGCTCATAAACCTGCTTTCCTGCCAAGATGTTACAAAAATGTCACAGAACTAAGGCACGTAAAAGCCATGCATTTCAGGAACTGAGATGCTGCCTCATTCTTTCCTAGCTTCCGTGCCACAGAGAGCGTGTAAACCTAGGGCTACGATACGGCTGCAAGGCACTATCCTCTCCTGTAGCCTGGTGAGGAAAATACTGACCCAAGGGCTGCGAAGCGAGCAGGTGAGAAACAGCAGTGGTGAGAACTGGGACAGATGTGCAAGGCACCTGCCCCGTCCCTGCCCGCTGCCCCGCTCCTGCCTCGGTGCTGTTGCCAGTACTGTGCTCTTTGAGCCGAGCTTGCACGCGACTCGGGGAAGTGTCATCAGCTTCTCCGCTGGCTGCATGCAACAGGTCGCCTAACAAGCTTCCCAAGACCAGAACAGATAGTTCATAAATTTCTTTTGCCCCTGGTTTGATAGGTAGAAAGAAATGCAATGGGGGCAGCCAGGAGAGCCTGCCTGTCACTGACCCGGGCAGTGGGGCTCCCGC